AGGTTGTGGTCAGACAATTCTCATTATTATAATTACACAATTCACAGATAATTTTTGTTATTATGATTACAGTATACACTTAATCAATTTGTATATAAATATTGAAATTAAACAACCTTATTAATGTTGGTATAGCCGATTTACGAAACCGTTCAGTTTGGGATCTGTATTCAGATAATTTGCTACTCTTATTATCATTAATATTATTATTACTATGAACATTATTAGTAGTATCATTTCGTAATCGTCACCTTCTTTATAATCGTTTTTAAATTCATAAATATCCTGATGACCGTTGTAGTCAACTGCGGTTTATCTTTCATCTTATCTACACTGAGGCCTAGCCGTCATCCCAAAACATCTACGTGTACACATTATCATGTGATTGCCTAACTATTGCTCGTTCCTATATTCAGCGCAATGAAAAAAAAATTATCATAATATGCTGATGAATCAACGCAAATACTTTCAATGATGGCTAACACACATGACGCAAACGAGGGGATGTTGATAATGTATAACTAGCACTTAATGACACAAGTAAACCAATGAGTTTATGTACTTTCGTGACGTCAGGACGAAGGCTTGGTTCAATACTATAAAAAATAAGAGACAGATATATATCTTGATAAAAAAGACGATGAGATGACAACGCTTTGGTAGACTTAAAACACAAAGTTTATTCAAAACATGATTATTTCTACCCGTCCTCGGGTCTTCTTTAGCACGTGTGACAAACGAATTATAAGTTGGCTATTTCAAAAATCTTGATAAAATATAAAGTATAATATGATTGGTCGAAAAATTCTCAGTCCTTTGTATGTATTATGTTGTGCGTACAAACATACAAACCCACATTATGTACTAACCCACAACATCTACCCATTATAGCAAAACGTTAATAACATATACATTATAATTACATATACAATATTATACTCATATACGTACGGTATATACATAGATTAGTCCATACAATATATAGACACACATTATATATTTATATAAGCACACACACATACCCACATATATATTATTATATTATATATATATATATTTATACCGTATGTATATAATTATATATAAACTGTATATATACTTTATATGAATATATACAGTATATATATATTGTATATAGGCCTATAGATTATTTATAAGATATATAAATATTATTATTATTTATAAGATATATAAATAGCATTATATATATATATATATATATATATATACAATGCAATTTATATATCTTATAAACAATCTATTTATAAGATTGAAAATTATAGTGCCTTAATGATCGTTTGTCATCTTCTTGGATGGCGCGTAATCCTCGTTGTCATCGACATCTTAAGGTCATGAGTAATATTGCTTTTCATTCTCATTGACGTAAGTTTCACGTGGTGCAATTTAATACGATTCAATTACAACTACTGTAGTAGTATTATTGGTACACAGAGTAGTATCATGTGTTTTTGCTTTTTACGTTGACATGGAGACACGGCGGGCGGTTGGGGGCGTTTGGTCCTTGTGCCAACCAATGAACGAAATGCATTGGAAGTCTAACCAATTAGAAAAAAATACGCGTGTTCATTCAGAGAAGCAATACAGTACACCGGCCGGCAAGTTGTAGAAACGAAAGACAGACCTTGTAGCATTTGGATCACGTACGTTATTCTGTTAATTTTATCAACATTTTTATCTGATTTGATATACGGGACTACGTTATTATCATACTATTTCATTTATGAAGTGTAGTTTTTAAATGGGTCGAATGTAATTTCAGGACAAGCGTCTTCCACTTGCATATCGTTGTTCACCCCTATGCCTATCGTTGGTTCTTGACGTATATTTCAATAAATAATCCAGTATTTATCTGATTTAGCATTTAATTGTTTATATTTCATTACACCTCGAAAATTGGAGCATTTTTAGATGGAGATGAAACAGAACCTTTTGCTATCCATCCTCGCATCGTATGTAGTCGTGTCTATCGCAGGGAATTTTGCCAGTCTTCAGTTCGATACAGAGGAACGAAAGGTTCATATACAACATAACGGAGTGATTGTAGCAGAAACGAGTACTGGCAAAGGCGATGATGTTAATTTAGTATTCCGCAGGGCGTCAGACGGTCGTTATTTTATACAGGCCCTGATGGACGGTGAGGAAAAGATTAAAGACTGTGATATAATTAAACATAAGGACGCACTGAGAGACTTCTCTTCTCAGTTTCAAGAACTTCAACTCGTACTCTTGGGTAGGATGGAGAATATATTTTATTCAGAAAATCCAATAAAGACAATGAGCGCAAATGAGGTTAATATAAGGGACGAAGATGTCTCTTACAAACAAAACGGTTCAGGTTGGATGCACATAACATTCAAAGACATCACTGAGCTACCGTCAGAATTGATGGCTGTTGCCGATTTAAACAGCTTATTCAAATCTTGCCAGCAATTTCAAACAGAAATCAAACAGAACTATGAGAACAATGGAGAAGGGCAAAACGCACGCGAAAATGGAGTAGAAAGTGATGCCAGTCACCACTCGCGATCTAGAAGGGGAATCTCCTTCCCTGGGACACTGTGGTGTGGCAGCGGAACCAACGCGCAATATTACGAAGAGTTGGGCGAGGAGGTACACGCCGACAGATGCTGTCGAGAACACGACCACTGCCCACTGTACATCAAGAGATGGGAAACCAAATTCTACATTAGTAATCGAAGTTTTTACACTTACTGCTTCTGCAAGTGTGACAAGAAGTGAGTAACCTTTCTTTTGTTGCTATTGTTGATGCTCAGGCATGAGTACACAAACCAAAGCCCCTGATTAGTGGCTATAGGCCTACTAGTATCAAGAATTTTTTGTTTGTTTTGTATGTTTGTTATTTATCTACCTGCTGCTATAATAGGTTTCGTGTTATCCGGAGTTACGGGTTAATTGGTGATAGCCATGACACTGATACCAACAATACCGAATTCTCCTAGAGCCTGCTAACAATAGGCATTCATAAAGAATATTAATGAGTTCAATTTTTTTTTTTTGGCAAAATACCATCGGTAACCGAAAGAACACTGAGATAGGTCTGTCGCGCTAAAATTAGTCCGGGCCAAAATTTTGGCAATTTTGGCAGCAAATATTGGGACAGTCTGAGATTATCTGAATGCTAAACTAGTTGCACTTTGGCGAAATACTAATAATATCACAATATTAATAAGCTGACACAAAATAGTTATTTCTGCCATTAAAATAAGAGGTCCTTGTTAAGACTAGCCCTCGAATAGTGAGTGCCTGGTCTAATAATAGTATAGGCCCACCCACACACCATCTGTTCGATGTTTTTTAATAACACAAAATCAATGAATGGTTTTGTTTTGACGTTTCTATGGAAAGCCAACCCCGCCAAAAATACGATAGACAACAAAACATCCAACGAAACCCAAACCATTCAAATACCGGTACATTTGAACATACAGTATATTTAATTGTTTTTACGTTGGATGGGTTCGCCGCTAACGAATTGTTGTCGGATTTGGCATTCCATACCTTTTCTGGTGAATGAGAGCAATCAGACATTCATGATTCTCATGCTCATTTCCACACTAGTGACAAAAGTGGTTGGTATGGAAAAAAGATATACGTAATGTAAATATATAGTAGGTATTTAATGGCTCTCATTGAGGAAATTGATCCAGATTATACAAATCACATTAACATACAGTATGTGTTACATGTACCATTGATACTTAAAAAATCACCTTCCAGGCGGAAAGGAGAGCAATCATTTGACGGGAGCAATCCCAGAGTCATCAGTTCAAATCCTGCAGTTGTGTTAAATTCAACTAAGCCTTATTTTATGACCTAAATTCTACAGCAGTTTTTCTATCAAAAAATTGCTCTTGGGTGTACGAAAGTAGGTAACAAATGTGTAGGTCTAATGCGTTCTTGAGCAGAACTTCAACTTAGGCCTACACGGGGTTAATTCAGGAATGCGAAATCAGGGAGGAATAGAAGACATTGCCCTGATTTTTCTAAGCGAGAAGTGGAGGCGATTTCGTTCCACTCTCTGCGCCACTGATTTCATTTTCACGTCTGTAAACGTTTTGATATGAGTAGGCGTGGTATTTAACGACATTAACCGTACTATGTGACCTGATTTCGTTCTCGTCCACTGCACGTTTTATTACTCACTGTAAGTTTTATAGGTAAACGTGCAACACGTCTCTCTGCACATAAACGGTCGATAGACATACCACGGAAATCAAGTTAATTATATATATTGTACAGTAGGCCTAGTTAATTTTTCTGTACAGGTATGTCCAAAATACCACGATAATTCCCTTGCTATTTTGCACACGTGTCAGTATCGCATCGAAAATGCATTTGTTTCCAGATGGGTTTCTTGGGACAAGATAAAAAAAATAAGGATCATGCTAATCATTTTAATGCAATTATATAACTTGTTTGGCGCATTTACAATAATATTTTGTATCGTACTTTACAGTCAGCGATAGTATAATTAGTAGACATAACTTGAACAACATTCGAGAAAGAGAAAGGGTAAGGGGTAGCTAATACAGTACGGTACACCATAATATGTAACTAATATTATTATTAGTTATCGGAAATCATAATGCTGTAAATTTGAAAGGTGACATTTTAGAGTCATGACGAATTTTGCACCTGAGCAAAGGGCGATTAGCCCTGTAATTTGTGGAAGCAGGATCGTACGATCTTGGAGTGCCGCTGCTCAGACTACAGTCCTGAGCATGTGCAGTAGACCCCTCAAAATGGTGATGATTAATGTTAGGCAAGGTAATCGTATAAAGTAGCAATAGTGCACACAGTCTTATCTGCTGTTCACATCATCCTATAGGGCTATAAAACTAAAATTAATTTATTACCGTACCATGTGTCATAGGCCTGGGTATATAGATAGATACAACAATGGTGATACTAAGCCGAGGTACATTTATGCAAAAAACACACAGATTGAAAAAAGACCTCTCATTTAAATTCATCATCGTGGACTTGGATTTAACTTCTTTTTCTTTAATTAAACGAATAATCTGTTATTAAGAAAAATAGGCTTATGACAAACTTAAACGCAATGGCTCTACTATATTGTAATTTACTAGCTACACAAAGAAATGTGAACATGACATACTACGCCTAAATGACATAATAAAATAGTTATAATCAAAATAAGTCTGTTAAATAAATGTTTTTATACTTTCAGTAGTACGTTATCACTCAAATATGCTAAGCAGACATAATATCCATCCACACTCTAACCTTATAGGCCTAATCTTCTCGGATTTTCTCGGATATAATATATATATATATATATATATATATATATATATATATATATACATATGGATAAATAATATTAACAGTACTCGAATAGGGTGTCTCTGGTGGGATTCCAACTTGCAACCTCTCGCTATCAAGTCGAGTATCATACCCATTAGACCACAGAGACTTAGCTTACTTGTAGATCCAATTTATATTTTTTATGCGCTATTAGTTTAGCGCTATATCAAATTTGTGACTTCAGACACGTTAAAAGAATGAAAGGAACTTAGATTATACTTGGCGCTTGAATCACCACAATGCTCTCGTGGTCAAGTGGTTATGATGTTCGCCATGTATGGGAAAAGTCCCGGGTTCGAGTCCCGTTGGAAGATGAGTTTTCTTTTTCTTTCTTTGTCAGATTCTTCTTCTTTTATTTCACGAAGTCACTCGCGGCGGCTGCTGTGCTGCGCCATAGTCGGCAAAACCAGAACAAACCCCAAATCTTTTCAAATATTTGTGTCTTATAGTTCTCGTTCACATGTGTTATGCTCGCGGCGCATAATTGAGGGTACATTTTAGTAGGCTATTTACGCAACGTGCGTTAAAGTTGCGCATCATTATGAAACAACACTGACAAACTAAATAATATTATCGTTGTAGCAACTTAGATAAATATACAACACACGCCATGGATTCTAGCACTCCATTAAGTGACGCTCTTGATCGAAAAAATGCCGCGCCGGACGCTGGCAAAAATGTTAACCAGCTATCCACAAGGTAAACTAACTATAGTCTGTAGGCCTGTAGACGTTTTGCCTCTGATATAGATATTTTGTACGAAAAGTTAGGCAGACTTATGTTGACTGTTACACCTGGGAAAATAGATCAGACGGTTCAGATCTTAGGTCTAGCCAGTTCATAATGATCATAATTTGCAAGAACAACTGTTGGAAGGTCAAAATAATGATACTGTCCACGTAGTAAGAATGCTCTTTTAAGAGAGCATTAGGTCGGATCATGAGACCTGCCACAGACAGTTTGTTCCTGACGAGAGTGTGCGTCATCAATAATCTATGTTCATGAGGCCCGAGTCATCATATCGGCGCCCTGTCCGTTATTTGGTAAAGCAAAATCAATAAAGAAGTAAATCATAGTATGTGGTGTTAATATAATTTTAGTAGATAACTTCATTATTCTTATCTATGACGCATGGGAATTGGCACAAGCCTCGTGATCGGGCTAGCAGGGTTGGCTGAATGTGGCGATCATTATATTTGGTAGGCATAAAAAGTAACTGTACGAATTAACTATATTTCAATTAAAAGTTATCAAAGGTTTACAACTTTGTTTTAGAGTCTCTCTTCTGTGCAGTTTTTGCCATTTTCTCTTTCCTTTCTTGTGGCTTCCAGGTCAAGGTTTGTCGTGTGCAGTTTCTTTTGTGGTTTTGAGGTTGAAAACACTAGGTACCGCTACGCCGTAAGATGAGCTAAATATATTTAAATCTTTACGTCATTTATACCCGACTTCTATCAAAAATTAGAATGGGGAAAACAATTAACAAAGGTATAAAATAGACCAATCTTTATATTATTTTGAAATTTCATTGTCAGTGAAATTTTGTTTTACCTGTGTTTCATTGAAAGTTGATAATATACCGTAAAACATTGAATAGAAGCGCAATGGGCTTAAACTCGAGAAGAAGCCCATGATTTCGAATTGAAACCCCTCCTATAGTTTGCAAAAGTAGCCTCGAAAAGAATCCCATTTTCAAGATAGCATGAGCTTTTTTTTGAGAAATTATAACAGCACAACGCTGTACATGAATTTCAAGAAACAAAATAAATTTAAAACACGCTTGGTTTATAAGTTTAGGTGATTTAGGCCTAATGTCGGTTAAACTCCATGATACAGATTGAAAAGAAGCCCACCACCGCCCCCCTTTAATTTGCAAAATTAGCCTCGAAAAGAAGCTCATTGTAAAACCCGGGCTTCAATTCGAGGTATTATGGTATTTGTCCAGTTCGTGTGCTCATTCATACAATACAGCCACTATTCTAAATCCGAAAGATGGTCCATTCTTTCTCTACAGATGGGCCACGTTCAGCTCAGCCCCGCCATGGTTGGAGCGGAGGCACAACATTTTGTACCTCTACTGCCAAAAAATGGCATTTTCAGGTCAGCTGTCCACCCCTGACTTAGAAGACATTTTAGATTAATTTCCCCTACAGGTTTTATCGTCGTCAACGGTTCCCCCTACAGGTTTTATCGTGACTCTCCGACGGCTGGGCCAGGTGTTCCCTACGGACGGCTGAGCTAGCGCCGCCCCCTGATCTGACTAGGTTCATCCATTGCATCCACCCAGATATTATGTCAAGTTCAATAATGGTTGAATAAGATTAGGTGAAGAAGTTAAGTTTCTCCTGATCGAGCAGCTGGTATTTATGAATTATACTGGAACCGAGGTCATCATGAGACCAGGGAGGTGTAAAAATAATTATTAACTAATTATTTTTACCCCTCCCAGATGAGACCATATTGAATTTAAAAGTTGATATCCACGTCACGTGTCTGATAGCGAAAAATAGGACACGAGTACTAGGCCTGTATACTAAGAATATTGTCAAATTTAAAGACCATCTGAGGCTAATACTCATGCGTAATAAACTATAAAATTTATTCTTCTATGTACTATAGGCTTTTTGCCTAATTACTGTAATAAGGTAAATATAAATAACGTTTATCAGAGGCTATTTTGTTGCTATTATCTGTTTATATAGTATTATCATGGATCTATTAATTAAATATTAATAGGTCCATGGTATTATTATACAAAATAATCAACTAAACGTATCTTGATTTAAGGACATCTCTGGATCCCCCCTGGGATAAGACAGGATTTGGATAAGAGGATCCTTTGGTTGGGATGGATGAATGTTGTTGAGGGGACGTCTTTTGAGGGGCGGGGTGTCTGTTCGTAGTTGAAAGGACCCTTCTTGAGAAAACGCATGTTTTTTCTGTAAAATGCTTGTTTTTTTATTTTTATTGTAATGCAATAATGTCTTGTTCTGCATTTTGTATTGTGTTTTATACCTGAATAATTAAAAAAAAAATGTATGTTAGCAATAATGGCATTGTTTACAAGCAATACAATATTAATATAATAGCATTTTATACGACAGATAAGATGGAAATAATTACTGTGTAAAAAAAATAAATTTACAAAAGAATGAATGTGTGAATTTTATTCATTATTATACTACATTATTTTTTAATAGGTTTCGTCGATGTCTGGAACGTGCTAACACCACTACATCTCGTGCAGTGGGAAAAGCGTTCTTCAACACGCTGGAGATCCCGTGTTTCACAATGAAGAAGAAAAAACAGTGCGTGAAACGCTCGTGGTGGGGAAAGTGCGAGAAGTACGAAATCCGAGACACGGCTAAAGTTCGAGCCGCTAAGCGATTCAGGCTTTAATAACATATAACATGTATTTTTAACTGAGCAAAATTTCACGTGGTTGCCATATAAAAAATCATTCCAGTTACCAGAGATGGCAAGCAGAAAAGTGTCATGCAAACGACGTGATTTGACGATGGCACGCATGGTGTCGACTGGATTGACTAGCCCCAAGGAGAAAGTAGGCCTACTACGTACCGCCTTGCCAGCACTGAATACAAAATTGGAGAATTCGGCTACAGGTGAATTACCGTACGCAACGTAGACTTCAAATCTACGTGGAGCTGTTCAACCAACATTATCCCGGAACAAAGTTCAGGAATTTATGTTCAGTAATATCCACGAATATCACCAATGTTTACAAAGATATCCGCAAACGTTGAAGAATGTACCTATCCTTCCCATGACTCTTGAAGTTACAAGTTTTCTCCATTAAGACTTACAGGCTGCATTTTATAGCTATCTGAAACTGATCAATGCAAGTTATAGTATATAATTAATGTTAAATGTACAGTGTATCCACCATAACGAAAATATTATACTTGAGTCTATTTTAAACATAACATTTTACTTTTATATCATCAGCCAAAATATAACGTTATAGTCATATTTCTGTTTTTAAAGATATACTGGTATATACTGATAAAAATCAATTCAAAGTGTACTGTAAGTTTTAAGGAATTTTACAGTTAGGTGGCTGTCTAGTTCGAAATATATTAAAGTCTTCTTATCGTGTCCACTGTGTGGTGGTGGTAGAATTGGCGTTAACCAGGGTCGCGAAGAGGACGCTTTTGCCATATGAATCCAAAGTAATGTACTGTGCTGGAAATATCCATTGTGAACTATGGCGGTTCGAACATGAAGCACACACCAAACCTGATTTTCTCCGCTAAGCTCACCACATGCTTATCATCGCTATTTTAAATAATATGGTATTTACGATTATAATTTTATGAAAATAGCACTGGGATAATTCTAAGTGACATAGGCCTATTTTGTGTGTGAACCACTGTCACTCAAATTAAACATCGGTAATAGTAGGCTATTACACGGAGCGTCTTTGAAGGTTATGTTAACCTGATAAGAAAGTAAAAGTGATATTTTATATATATTTATTAATTGTATATATAGGTCCCACTCCTCTTGATGGCTGTAAATAATAAATTTGGCATCCGATCAAATTTGAAATGCGATAGTTTTATGTAGGCCATGTCGTTATTGGAATTTCATTTGTGAATTACCGTTAATACCGGTAACGAGATATTATTGATTACTGGTAACGTGATGGATGACGTCATGAATGTGCTTTATTTGGATGTTGAAGTAGGTGGGATGTTTAGTATGAGAAATAGCCATCACTACATTTTTGCGCGTTATCTGTGAATATGTCAGCTCCAACAATTTGGGCAAACTATTGTCATCTCGAGTATATGCGAATTTTGTGACACATTTAAATGCCGAAAGTGTTTAGGCCTAGCTTGATGTCTTTATGATGTTTAGCATTAAGCATTAAATTTGCCAAAGTACTTTATTATTTGATACTATGGATGGCAAATTCCTAGACACATTTTTGCTAAACACGTCATGGAACCTAAACACATTAGCGTTTGTGCTTGCTAGTCGGAGCGCCCGCATAATCAATCAAATTTAAATATGGATCTGTGCATCTTAGGTATATATTGGCTCTCTTATACACATCTAGATGTGTATAAGAGACAGGCATCCACCCAGATATTATGTCAAGTTCAATAATGGTTGAATAAGATTAGGTGAAGAAGTTAAGTTTCTCCTGATCGAGCAGCTGGTATTTATGAATTATACTGGAACCGAGGTCATCATGAGACCAGGGAGGTGTAAAAATAATTATTAACTAATTATTTTTACCCCTCCCAGATGAGACCATATTGAATTTAAAAGTTGATATCCACGTCACGTGTCTGATAGCGAAAAATAGGACACGAGTACTAGGCCTGTATACTAAGAATATTGTCAAATTTAAAGACCATCTGAGGCTAATACTCATGCGTAATAAACTATAA